GTCAATTGCCACATTTTTGGAAATTTCGTTAGTAGTTGGTTTGTAATTTGGCAAATCCATGAATGGGTGCGCGTAAGCATTTACTAAAGGCAAACAGTATGGGCTATGCCTGATCAGGCACTTTACTCTGGAAATTACGATGTCTCGATCTGCGTCTAGTTCATGCTGATGCGAATTTCATACATTAGCCAATATTAGTGAATCACATGTGACCGCATTTCAGCCAACCAGGATTAAGAACAAGCAAAACAAGAGGTGTGTTATTATTGCATTTATACAAAGTTCAAGAATGAATGGATAAATGGGCTGTTGGAAAACAAACTCAATTATCATGGTTGGCAAATGAGTTTAATCTAATTTGTGATTGACTTCAGCTTATATCTTTAATCAGAATTGAAGGAACCAGATATGACTTATTTGGATGGAAGTGATTACCTCAAGAAGATTGTTGCTATTATCCTAGTCAATCTTAGGATTGTGATGTCTAATCAACTTTTTTTGTACACAAGCATGCAGTTGCAAGGTTTTTGTCTGAATTTATTTGTGTCCATGTAATAAAAAAGTCAATGTATTACATGCCATTGTATAAGGCAACACTTAACAAGGTTATACAGCAGTACAAAAGCCCGGAAAACATTTATTTATTTACTTTTTGGCAAATATATTTTGTTCACTGCCTTACTAAAGCACTTTCAATCCCAAGTCATAATTTCGTTTACATATTTTATATGTCTTGGAAGACGATTCAATACATTTTACGAAGCAATACATGTTTCTTGTTTTGATCTGAATAGAAGTGCATGCACCCAGACCTCATCATAGTCAGACACCAGACCAACAACCACGTTTAGATGACAAAACTCTGCTTGAGGTTGCTACTAGGCTTGGTCTTGATTGGGTAAAACTGGCATTGGAGCTGGACTTTACCACGATACAGGTTCAAATTATCGAGAAAAATCACCACAACGATATCACAGGGCAAGGTCTTGATATGCTTGTAAAGTGGAAACAGGCCCAGTTGACCAGTGTTGAACAGCAGTGGTACACGTTGTACACAGCATTGGAGAACATCAGAAGAGCAGATGTTGCCGGATTTCGGAACGGTAAATGCATATCATTGCTCATTGCGTGCGTAATGTAAAGAGGAATTAAAGAAAGACGATACTTGCATAAATTGCAAATATGTGTCTTTGCACTTGTATGCCTATTTTATTTTGTATTTCAAATTGACAGTTGTCTATGTCAAGATGATAATTATGTCAGGTCAAATCTGTTCACCTTCTACATAATGACACAGTGGTGTGTCATCGAAGTGAAACTGACACTCTTATAAGTCCTGGGTCAGATTCGACCCGGAATTTGGGTCAGATTGGACCTGACACACTTCCAGGTCAAAATGACACTTTTGGGGTCAAATGGCTGTGAGAAGGCGACAATTAAGTGTCATTTCCACCCGGAAAAGTGTCGGCTCAAATCTGACACTGAGGGCTTAAAGAAGTAGTGTCCAGTCAGTACATCATTAATTACAAGGTAGTGGTATGTTCACTCAGCAAACTTTGTTGTTGAACAGAACAGATGACGACCCAATGTCTTCCATAGTGGGTCCTTCACTCATGTGCCATAACTTCATAAATCCCTGGAATAAGTGAAGCTATTGAGACAGTTAATTTCTCTCTTTTTTAGGAACAGATCATTTCTAAAACCCAAAAATCTTTGGTCGTTATAAAAGGTAAAGATGCAATGCAAAATAAACCAGAGTTTTACAGATGGGTGTTCACTGTTGAAACGTGTGTTGAATATAACATTTTTGATAACTCAAACGAGGCAAAAATGAAAACAATGTTTAAAAAATGATTGAAATTAAAAAAATCTTATTGAATTTTTAAAAATTACCTGTTTTTTGTATTATTATTAGTTTTTGTGTTTACATCATAATCTTGTAACAACCTTTGGATGATGGAGGAAAGGGGCAATCACCCCCCCCCCCACTTCCCAACCAACCTACCTCATCCCAATATTTTTTTATAAGTCATTGCCTGGTTTCTACTTCCCATTTGAACGGCCAGATTTTCATATTTATTTATCTTCATAGTTTTCCAAGCACTGACGACAACTAGAGATGAAATCAAGTACTTAAAATGCTGTCAGCCCTTTTCAGGATATTGCAATTAATGCTTCCAATTTTTGCTTCCCCCAAAGGAATTGGAGGCAGCAGTGGAAACATTGGCACAGTCAGCGGTAGCCACTACAGTTCATCATCAGATGCAGCAGGTAAATATAATCTTTTCAGTAAGATGAAAGTATAATTTATTGAATAGTTGAACAAAAAAATTATCTGGAGCGGGGCTTGAACCTGCATACCTAGGAAATAGCAAACAGGGATCTCTTAGAGAGGATACAGCTTTTTATTACAAATCATCAAATGACCCACAAAGGGAAACTGACTAGGTGAATTTTAACAATTGAAAAGTTGAACAAAGAAATTGACTGGAATGGGGCTTAAACCTGCGACCTCCGGATAATTGTTCCGGTCCCGTACCAACTGAGCCAAACAGCCCTATGTTGGCGGTTCCCCAATCAGTCAATATCTTTATTCAAGGGGCGCTAGTCAGAAGCCATAAACCCGTACATACCATGCAGCCAGGGATCACGCTCAAAGTCACCATACAGACCTGTCAATTACTGTGTTCAACTTTTCAATCATTATAATTGACCTAGTCGGTGTCCCTTTGTGGTTCGTTTGAAAATAAGATGAAAGTAATTTGATATCACTTCAAATGTATTTTTGTGGTGGGGGTGGGGGAGGGGTGGGGTTGTGGTATACTTTCTTTGGTACAAGTATAAGCCAATTCAATATATGGAGGACACAATAGAAGGGCGCAGGTTGCTATTTATAGTGGTAAAAGCCTTATATTTTATTTATTATATTTTAGCCTTAATTTATTCGTGTATGTATACCCAAATAGCACCCCTTATTATTGCATCTGCCACATTAAAAAAACTACCAAAAAAGGTAATAGAACTTTTGAAGTCTGTTTGTGAATTAGTAGAATAATGGGGCTGTTGGGAAAATAATTGAATAATCATGTGCCCTCAACCTGTTGTGAAAACCTTGTTTTTTTACATGTAAGTGACCCAACTAGAAAAAGTCACAAAGGGTGAGATGTGGTAATCTTGGGCCCATTTAAGTCAGTGGAATACCGAAATCACTCAGTCACCAAAAGCTTTGCCAACAGCAACATTAAGTCTGTGTGGCGTGGGTGATCTGTTGTACCATTGTCATTGATCATATCCAGATTTACCTACATTAGGTATGCCTGTCCTTCCATAAATTCTTAAGTAACAGCAAAAGAATAACATCTGTCTGCCCTTTGCCACCCAGAAAAGCTTGTCACAATGCTGATTTTGACCGCTTTTTTAGAGGCCATGATTGCCCAGTCATCCATGACAATGACATAATGAAATTAATATCATTGGATTGAGGACATTCTGGCCTTTTTCCTTGTAGTTGCCTCTTTTTGAAATGTTTGGTACATTTTACGTTTAATGATGGGTATACTTTTTTGATACACCCTGTAGAGATGACTTATTTGGAGTAGAGGGATAATAAGAAGATTATTGCTATTATGTCAGTCAACTTGGGTTTATGATGGCCAATACACCTGTAGTGACCAGCTTTTTGTCTGACTTTATTTATTCAGCCGCTACCGGACAAGGGGACGTTGCCACATCTTCATCAAATGCCAAGCCAACTAATCCAAGTCCTTCACCAATTCCTTCCACTCAAGCTTCAGGTACTGATAACTTAACAATGCTAGACAACTGATAACTTAACCAATTTGACAGAGTGGCAAAAACACGTTGCTGAAAATGATGGGCATGCAAATTCCTCCAAAGGAAAATTTTAGAACTGTGTAACAGTTGCAACAGGTGAGTGGTAGCTATAGACCCGTTGCTCAGGGTCAATTTATGACCTTTTTTAAAGGGAAGGGAGGAGCAAGTACCCCCACCTCACCCCTTGATTTTTTCAGTGATGGCATGGTTTCATCTTCTTTAGTTTTGTTTGTTATAAATTTAACAAGTTTTTTTTCTTCATAGAAAGGAAAAGCTTTCCGAGCACAGATGCAACTGGAGATGATATTGAGCATACTTGTATTTCATTTTGTGAGTGCCTGTTTTAAGGATATGTTCATTCATGCTTCTGATGTTAGATTCCCCTCAAGGAACTGGAGCCATAGAAACCAGCAACGGAGTTGATGATGGCAACAAGCCTACCATTGATGGTTCAGGTCAAGTCAAGAGTGCAGGTATAATCTTGTTAGTGAGGATAAGAATTTTGGTATCTTTAATCAAATGTCAAATGTATTATTTTTTTGGAAGGAAAGTATATGACAAATAGACATGAAGGACATTGCCAGTTCTGGTGGAGAGTTAAAGTTGTTTAGTACAAATATAGGCCTGTTTGGGATACACAGATGGTGGACACATTAAATTCTGTACTGATGACGTCACACTTTGTTTCCACGTGTGCTTTCTTATGGGAGCCTGGTGGGGATGACAGTTTTTCGTAGCCCCATAGAAAAGTGCGCAAGTAAACAAAGTGTGACGTCATCAGTACAGAGGCTCATAGGAGTTGGTAATGTCTTGAATTTTAATAACTCATTGTACCATGAGATAGAGCCCCCTATTCGCTATTGTATCTGCCATATCTAACCAAAAAAAAAGAAGTCGCACATCAATTTTCCATTGATATGTGAATGAGTAGATGAATGGCGTGGAGAAAAATTCATATTTAGTTGGTAATGTGAACTGTTCGGCAAAGACAATTGTTTTAATGGGTTTATATGATTGATTTCAAGTGAACTTCAATCAGAGTTGAAATAAATGAATATGTGATGACCTATTTGAATGATTATGACCAGAAGATCATTGCTGTTATCTCAGTCAATCTTGGGTTAATTGATGGCCAATCAACTTGTTTTTACACCTGCAGTTACCAGATTTTTGTCTGACTTTATTTATTCGGCTACTACCGGACAAGGGGATGATGCCAAGTCAACAAGTCGAAGTCCCTCACCGATTCCTTCCACACAAGCTTCAGGTATTGATAACTGACCAGATTAGGCCGAAAAAAAAGTCTCCGGTTTCTGGTATGCGCGCGCGTCGCCGTAGCCATGCGCGTCGGCAAAATAAAAAAGGGTTTTTTTTTTCAATACAAGAATAAGATGAAGTCTCAAAACAGCCAAACTCACTGGTTTGACTGGAATCCTGCTGCTGCACAATTTAACTTGTTTTTAGATGGGGTTATGATCGAGAATAAGCTTTATGTGGCCTCTCTGGACTCCCATATATTTGCACTAAGTTTAGTTGGGCACCATTTGCAGTCATCAGCTGACATTTGAAGCCAAAAAAAAAAAAAAACCAGGTTAAAAAAAAAAAAAAAACGCGTCGCCGCACCACTTTTGGGGCAAGCTCCATATCAGAAACCGGAGACTTTTTTTGTTTGGCCTTATAGCGAGTATATTTTTTTTTTAGTTTTTTTTTAACTTCATACAAAGGCAAAACTTTCCAAGCGCAGACATCAACCAGAGATGACATTGAGGATGTCGTTTTGTCAGTATTTTTTTTAAGGGGCAATTCATCTTGAAATCACCGAAAAATTTCATGTTTTGGATCGTCTACTTATCGTATTTCAAACATCTGGTTGAAAGGAAACCAAACTAATGCCTTACCGTTCCCGAGAAAAGAGAAAAAAAACCTGATTGTTTACATCGGACATGACGGAGTATGATATGTGTTTCCTGTCTGTTCGGCAAAAATGATTGTTTTTAATGAGTTTGTACAGGGTGACCCCCAAATAATGCAGCCCTAAAACATTTGCCTTTAAAAAGATCCTAGCTACACGATGATCCCCGGCTTGGCGATGAAAGTCCACCTATACGTGCAGCCAGGCCGGTCTGGATGCACCACACTCCTACGTTCTATTAGAGTTCACCCAATTTGGGATTCTGTATGCCATTGATCATGGTCCGTGATTCGTGTTTCGTGTATGTATAGTGTGCCATCCCCGCTCATCAGTAGCGCGCCCTCATGCGCCGCCCCCCGCTATAACCTATCGAGAACCCCGACTTGCAAATCTGCCACACGTTTGTACACAACCAACGAGCTCATCTACCGAAAGTGGTAGCGGCCAATCAAATTGCAGAATTTTAGAAATAAACATATATCTTTAATAATGAGAGAACTTTGAGCGTGTGAATGAATGTGCTCTAGGTACATGTACATACATGTACAACATCATGCAAAAAAGACCTCACGTTCTGTGAATCAAATTGCAGAACTTTTTTGCACCTATTTTGTTTTGGCAACCTGAAGCCCGGTTCAAACTTCACACGAAAGCAAAAGCGAAGCGAAATTCGTGACATCAACAATACATTCAAAGCGTGTCCACCATTGTTGACGACATGAATTTGGCTTCGCACATGCTTTCCGCGTGAAGTATGAACTGGGCTTAAAGGGAATGCACATTTTTGGATTGCTGTAATTTCCAGAAATAAACTATTTGAGGGGTTAGTACAATAGATCAAATATTGTTTAACTGACACGTTTGAAGTTTTGTGTTCGAAAATGGAGGGCCCCCCCCCCCACCCCCCGTAATGCCAGACAACTATCAATTCAATTTGAAAATCTATTTTTCAAAGTGCATACCCAAAAAGCATGTACCTATACCAATTTAAAGGCCCCAGGTCAGATTTGATGTATAGAGTGCCCTCGAACCTCATGCATATGCAGTTAGAATCACGGGAAGGGGTACAATTAAAACTTGGAAGACAATTCATTCTGTTTCATAAATAATGTTTTGTTGAAGCAATGCATGTTAGTATATTATATTATTTCACATTTTTGACCTTGCATTTTTTTTGGCTAAAGAAGGAATTTTTGTCATATTTGGGTAGAGTTTACCTACGTAAGCTAGAAATCCATTGGTAACATTTTTTTCCATCTACCATGTGGCGGCCATCTTGGATTTCAAAATGGCGTCCATTTCGGACCTAATTCATATCATAACTTCGGACCTGATTGTCACATTAAGTCCATTTTGGTGGCAAACCCTATGTTTTTGATACCAAGGAACCCAAGTAAATCATTGTTAATGGGGTACTCCAAATGGATGGATATAATCACATACTCCAACTCTTCAGACTCTGACTTAAAAGGTGCGGTTACCCTAATAGATTAATTAAAGAAAATTCCCTATATTACAGAGAGGAATCCAGCACTAGATTACACACTTTTAAAACGCCGAAATATGCGATCCTTTGCAAAATCCCGTTCAACAAAGCCAGCGACAACTTCAGACAAGCTAAAAGAATCCTTAAAAAATACACCGGCTTACTGGCCCCAAAATATGGCGTTAACATCTCCATCACCAACAACCCTAAGCTAAAACAGTTGTTTTGTACAAGCCGCAAACTGCACAGGAAGATTGCTAACTTCAAAGTATAATAATAATTACGGACAGCCGCTAACTATGATTGTGAGACGTGATATTACCTCTACCCATTTAAAATTTTAATATATTTGGGGTGTATAGATCCTTATTAAGAATTCCCTTCAAGAGCCACAGGTTTATGGGCGCGTAATTCCTTCTTAAAAATATCCCTCAAGAGCGACAGGTTGTGGACGTGTAATTCCATCTTAAAAATATCCTTCAAGAGCCACAGGTTTGTGGGCGCGTAATTCCTTCTAAAAAAAAAAATACCCTTCAATAGCCACAGGTTTATGGGCGCGTAATTCCTTCTAAAAAATATCCTTCAAGAGCCACAGGTTTGTGGGCGCGTAATTCCTTCTAAAAATATCCTTCAAGAGCCACAGGTTTATGGGCGCGTAATTCCTTCTAAAAAATATCCTTCAAGAGCCACAGGTTTGTGGGCGCGTAATTCCTTCTAAAAAATATCCTTCAAGAGCCACAGGTTTGTGGGCGCGTAATTCCTTCTAAAAAATATCCTTCAAGAGCCACAGGTTTGTGGGCGCGTAATTCCTTCTAAAAATATCCTTCAATAGCCACAGGTTTGTGGACGCGTAATTCCTTCTAAAAAATATCTTACAGCAGCCAATGGTTTGTGGGCGCGTCATTCCTTCTATAAAAGCAAAAAAATATCCTCCGACAGCCATTCCTATACCGGAATGTAATTCACTATGAAAAAGATCGCGTTCACTCATTAAGATAACAACTTTCAACTAAATTACGGGTAGCAGCTCACTACGTGTAACATGGTACGGTGTTACCTCTACCCAGATAAAGTTTTTTAAGTCATTCATATCGGTTATTGTTTTCACACTTTTCCTATAATTTACCACACGCCCTTAAACACATACAACCTTCTTTTGTATTAAATCAAAAATTACACCGAATTTTATTATAAATAGTTAAAAACGATTGATTCGTATCGATTAAAAACAGTCGATAACCTCATTAGACATTATAATTGTAAACAGTCTTGTATAATTTTCTTTGAAACTCAGCCTTCAAGTTTTATCTGTAAAAACTGTAAAAATTATAGGCTCATGATATACTCAAACTATATCTGCTAACCTCCAAAGTGAATACAATTTTTAACATTCCTAACCTTGTTTGGTTATTTGTAAAATATTGTATAGATTATAATATTTCTAAAAATTCCATTTAGTACTTTTGTTCCTTCAAGTATAAATTATAATATTACTAAAAACTCAATTTTGTACCTTTGTTTCTTCAAGACAACCGGAATTCCCTTAGCTGAATAATTTTAAAATAGAATCGAAATGTAATAAATTATAACCACAGTGAGTATATCACGTGCATTTTGAGTTCTTATTGTTTCCTCTCTGTGTGCTCTCTGTGTCTTTGAACTACCTATCCCCTCGTGCCGGGTTTGACATTACTGATCTTTAACCGGTCGTCAAGTCCACCAACGGGCACATTCCTGAACGGTTTTAAAACCCACTTTCTTCCACGGCGACTATCTGAACGTCTGGCGTATCGTGAGGTACGTTAGGGACTGTAGTGGACTTTAGGTTCACTCAAACAACAAAGTTTGGGGAATGATTCAGTAGCCCATTCCCCCCCCCCCCCCCCCGGTCAAAAGTGGGGATATATATACCCCCATCCCCCCGGGATTTAATGCCCCTGGGAATCCCAATGGAAAACCTCTTTTGTTATGTTCTATGTTTTGGAAGACTATTCGTTCAATTTCAGGAACAAATTTATTGAACCAATTCATGTTGCTTGTTTTGATCTGAATAGGAGTGCCTGCACCCAGACCTCAGCATCGTCAAAGACCAGACCAAGAACCACAGCTGGGGGCTCCTAGCTACAAAGATGTCGGTAACAAGACTAGGGACATTTTGAAGGGAGTTTATAAAACAACAGGCAGTTACGTGCAGTTGCTGCCTGGGGTTGCTAATGACCAAAGGCACATAGATAGTATATACACCAAAGTACGGTTAGAAACACGGGAAGGGGTAGCAGTTGTCTGTACGCCTACAGGGAAAACTGTTAGAAAAAGTAGCCAAAGTGGAGCAATTGTAAACTCAATAGAGTATGACAGAATATTCAGATTAAGGAAAGGAACTAACAAACTCATCAAATGCCTCATTTTCGTTGGCGAAGGAGGGGTCGGGAAGTCAACCATTTTTGATAAGATTGCATACGACTGGGCTGAGGGTGAAAACAAATTCCTGAAAAGATTCAATCTCGTATTTCTTTTAAAGATGTGTGCCCTGTCGCAAAAATCTGATCTTGTTGATTCCACTTTTGATCAACTTCTAGGTGAAAAGTCAGGAATAAAAGAAAAAGAACTTGATAAATTCATTCAGGACAACTCAAATGAGGTCTTGATTCTTTTGGATGGTTTTGATGCAATGAGGACCAAAACACTTGATGCAGCCTCATTTGGTTCTATCCTGAAAGCACTCGATAGAACAGCGTACAAGGAATGTATCGTATGTATCGCCACCCGCCCCTCTCATCTTGAGACACTGATGTCAAAATCACTTGTCCAAAATCCTTGCACATACATAGAGGTTCTGGGGTTTACTGACGAGGATGTTCATGAATACGTTCAGAAATTCCATGACAAAGATCCTGATAGTGGCAATGCACTAATCCAAACCATTGAAAAGTCCAACACGCTGCGTGATTTCGCCAAGACACCTGTGTTGCTGCTACATATGTGCTTGTTGTGGAGGGAGAGTAAACAACTCCCCAAAACAACTTCACGCCTCTTCACTGAGACAATCGATCACATGTTCACAAGAAAACATCTCTCTGGATACTATGCATCAAACACAGTGATTGCCATAGGAAAAGTTGCGCTGCGTGGACTCACGAGTGCCAACCAGAGATTCTCATTTCAAGAAGATGAGTTTGAACCGAAGGCGCTGGAGCTGGCACTAAAAGCGGGCATCCTAACCAAGCAGAGAGTTATCAAAAACGTCAAACCCCACACCAACATACAATTCATGCCCAAGATTGTGCAGGAATACTGTGCAGCGAAATACTTGCAGAGTTTGAATCTCAGATTCTGTACGCGTGTGGTGAACATATTAAAATATCACAACATTTTGAGTCGACTCGCGTGTTCAACAATTGAGGATGTTTTTCTGAACGAATTTCTCTTTCGTTTTTGTTGTGGTGACAATGAGAAGTGCATGACGGACATCGTAAACTTGCTTGACCGTAAGTTCAATGAAGATCCATATAAGCCCAGTTACCAATCAGATGTTATACAAGTAATTAGTCGAAACTGCTTTTTTGAAAGCCAGTCAGAAAAAGTCCCACAGTGTCTAGCCAGAGGTTCACTTATTCCATCAACTATCAAAGTACTTAACAATAATGATTTCCACAGTCTCATGTACCTTCTCGAAATCATCTGTAAGTCCGACAGCTGCACGGCACAACTGGCACACGTTGAAACGATTTCTGTTTATCGGGTGTCCTCAGTCAGTGGTTTAGCCTTCGCCTTGGGTTACATGGAAAACCTCAGGAATCTGAGGCTCTCCGATTGTCCTTTAATAAAAGGCGATCTTGAAAAAAACTTGTCATCATTAAAATGCAACTGTCTCTTGACCAGTCTTGACATAGAGGGTTGCAAAACACTGGGAGGTAGAGCTATAGAGTGGGCCCCTCATATCAAACACTTGACAAGCCTAGAAAAACTTCATATAAAAAGCTGCGAACTGCAAGGAACAGACATTGAACACATTGCTTCGGCTGTACATGACTTGCCTAGAATGACTGACTTGATCCTTTCTGTCAGTGGCGGATTGGCTACGTGGGCAATGGAATTGCCGAAAATGATACACTTAAATAAGCTGGACCTGAGCTATTGCGATTTGACAGCGTCAGATATTGAACATATTGCATCGGCTGTACGTGATTTGCCCAGACTGACTGACTTGGTCCTCAGTGAAAAATGGCGAGTGGATAAGTTAAAGTCCCGCTTCCCGTTGCTTAGGGTTCACATGAAAACTCACATGCCTTGAGTTAGGCACACAAAAAATAACTCGGTCTCTGGTCATCTCGCGCGTCGATTTTAATCATACGCGTCAATCTTTTTTTCCCCCAAAATGTTCCGCTGTAGCTCCAACAGCGCCCTCTATTGCCGCACCTCCTCATTTTTTTTTTATCAAAGAGTCCCAAGGAATGGGAAATTGCACCAAGGCAAATGATCGAAAGCACCAAGGCAAATTATGGAGGACACCAATGTACATGAGGACACCAAAAAAGCCAAATAGTACCCCACCTTGTCTGTACAATCCAAGCTTGAAGAAAAAAAAAAGCCGCGTCCCCGCGTCAATTCCGGAACTTCGGTCTGACCAGAGACCGAATATTTTCTTTTTTTGGCCTTACTACTCATAAATAACAAAATCAATGTGTTAACATTATCAATAAAGGGAAACTACTATATAAGAGTATAAAAAGTAAACAAAACAAAAGACAAAACAACAACCCCCTTGAATTCCAGAATATTTGTGCTGAACATAATAACCAAATTAAAGTGCGGGTGAAGGTTTAATGCAGACTGGGACATGTTGATCGCAACTTAAAGTTGCCATAAATAGAGTTTTTTGGACCACAATAACAGTTTCGTTTATGGCCAAAGCAAAAGAACAAAACAGATCATTTGAAAATTAACAATGTGTCATTCCAGGATGCCTCTTTGCAAATTCAAACATAAACATCGTAACACATTCTCGCTTCAGATCGTCAGCAGGGTCGCACTGCATGTAAGACAAATTACCTGTTCACTCTCCACATTATTATACAGTAGGCCTACACTGTAAAAACTGTGTTCAGAAATGAAACACTTTCTAAACACTTAAAGAATTGGATACGTAATGTTAAGCTTCTAAACATGTTTGCCAAAATTGTGTTAAATTGCTTAACAAATGTTTGGAGTGTAGTTTGTCATCAAAGTCAAGCTTGCACTTTTATAAGTCCCTGGTCAGATCCGACCTGGAATCCGGGACAGATTGGACCTGACACATTCTGGGTCAAAATAAAAAATTTCTGTGCCACAATGACAATTATCCGGGTAAAATGGCAGAAAAGGTGACTCAGGACAAGTTTCGACCTGGAAGCGTATCAGGTCCAATCTGACCCGGATTCGGGTCCAATCTGACTCGAATCTTTTTAGAGTGAATGTGATTTGCCGATTGTATATCTGCAAACAAAAGTATAACAGGCTTGGAATCTGTACGCGTGTGCAAGAAAACATCACTGATTTGAAAACGTAGTGGATGTATGGTACTCGTTGATTTCTTATCAAACACTGAGGCTGTATGGGTGGTTTGGTCCATTTCCTTCACAAGTTGAAAAAGGTTGGCCAGACAACAATTGTGTTTATTTATAACGTTTAAACAATGATTATCCTTTTGAGTTGTTTTGGGAAAATACACCTACCTTTTTGTAAATAGACTAATATATTTTGTATATATTTTTTAAAGACTCATTGGCCTGACAATGATTGTATTTACATGTATGTTAAACATTAAATGAATTAAGTTCTCCAGTTCTTTCAAGAACCACACAAATTGTAATTACTGGACGGTGGTTTGGATTTGCTCAGACCATATATTATTGACATGAATGATTTCTTGAAGACTTCTTATTTTATAATTCTTTTCAGCTGTTCCCAATTTCAATTGAGAAGAGCTTTTGTTTTTTGTAAAAAAAAATCTCACTTTTCTCATAGGTGTTGTACACGTTTTCATTGTACAAGCCATTTTGTGAACTTTTTCAATACGATCAAGTTTAGACTTTGTATACAGTAGTCATTAATCATGTATCATCGGAAGATGTATGCCAAAACATTTTGTCATCGGGGCCACATGACATTAATTTAAAGGTTCATGATATAACTTTTGAAATATTGGACCGATTGGTCTCAAACTTGGTTGTACATGTAGGCTATGTAGACGGGGAAGGTTATAGATGAACATTGTTTATGAACATTTTGGTTTTTTCCACTTTTTTCATAAGGTTAACACGTTTTCATTCTACAAGCCACTTTGGGAACTTTTTTTCAATACGATCAACTTTGCATAGTCATTATATAACCATCATCCGAAAATGTATATGCCGAATAACTTTGTCATCGTGACGTCACCAGGTCACGTGACATCAATATAAATGTTTTAGTTTTATAACGTAAGAACTACTGGACAGATTGATATCAATTGATGTGTCAAGGTCATGTGACCCTTCTGGTGTTACCTGGTGTTAATTTTGTATCCTAATTATATCTCATTTTTATCAATCTGATTGGATTGATACCTTATGTGATTATGAAGCAACATTTGAAGAAATATGTTGCACTCTTATTACCGTGCAGTTTATTGTTCTCGTTTTTGACGTCATTAATATTTAAATGAGGACATTTTGCGTTCACAATACGGCAGTAGGATAATGCATTCTTTGCATATTGCATTCAAGTATAGGTGTGTTTGCTGGAATGTCGGAAGGTCATGTGACCCTTACTTTCGGTCTTAACGGAAGCATTCTTCCTTTCTTAAATTCGGATCCTTATTATCACATTTCACTAATTATCAATCAGATGGGTTTGATACCTCATGAGCATAAAGCGGCATTCCAACATAAATTATTCCATTAATACCATGCAGTTTATTGTTCTAATGTTATGACCTGATGAATATTTAATAAGGCAATCGTATAGCCATACAGCAGTATGATAAGCTTTGATACTAATTCTTTGCATATTCCATCATAGTGTACTAAAGGTGAGCCTGGTGAAATGTTAAGGTCACGTGACCCTTACCTCCGGTGTTACCGGAAGTGAATTATATTGTAATATCAATTTTTAAAGCGACTTTGTTTTAGAATAAAGTATTCAATCATTTTATACCGTCCAATAGACGATCAAAAACATGTTGGGAACAGCTTTGTGGTTATTCAGTTACATCCACAAATTCTAATTTGTATTCTAGCCGTTTTTTTGTGTTTTTTTTTTAAGCTTTTGTGTGAAAAACTTTGCTGTGAAGATCTGTCTGCAAAAACATGAAGTAACTACTTCCGATACTAATTGGACCTTACACTAAAAGCGGGGCCTGGTTCACTTGTGACCGGCCAGACTTAAATTCCTGTAATTTTGCTGCCAGGTCCCGTCTGTAAAATATTTCTTTTTCGATGTCTTATATTTTTAGCATAAACAGCGATGCGAAAGTTGTCGAAGCATTGCGAGCGCCCTCTTGTGTTTTCCGTTGAATAGAGCATACAGAGTTTCGTAACAATTTGCATTATGACATGCAGTGCGAAAAAGCCTTTTACTCCGTGCAGTGTCTCAAAAGCATAGGGCTTCGGACGCACTTTCCGTGAATTTTTCGTTAGTTTTCTTGGAGAGTAAGCAAGCATGGGTAGGTCACTTGACTGCTTGTAGTTGCTGCTGCCAGCCACAATTATTGTGAGCCAGCTTGTCTATATTTTGCTGTGTTTCTCACTTGGTGTTAGCACGCCGCATGTGCATACACATATCGTGTACATGCATATCGTGTAGTTTGCCCAAACATCCCGAGGCATAGGTACACAGGCCGCAACTGCTCCGGTAAGTGTTTCAACTTCGTAAATTTTGATGTTATCTTAAATAGCACTTTACGACACATTTTTATGCCATGAATACTCAAGGTTGGAAGCCAAGTCTGTATGAAACATTTTTATGACATAAAATAAATATCCCAGGGCCAGGTTGAAAGCCAAGTCTATATGAAAATTGTGCATATATGAGTTGAATTTTCGGGGATTCGAATTTTCGATACCGAACCTTGTAATATTGACTGTGTATTTGCACATACTTCGATCCTAAATATGTTGAATTATAGGGTCAATGCACTTTATTGAACTCAAATTTGGATAGCGTGGATGGAAAGAGAAATAAGAGAAATGTTCTAGCCTGAAATGAAACACATGAGACATATAGATGGCAGGCGCGGTTCTGGGGGGGGGGGGGGGCGCCTAGGGGGGCTGTAGCCCCCCCCCCAAATTTTTTTGTCTAGCCCCCCCAAAATAAATTCCGTAAAAAAAAATTGCATTAGCAAAAAGAAGGATTGTGATGTACATGCAAACGGTCTCCCCCTAAAGAAGAAATAGCCGTGACAAGGGTGCATTAGTTAATATGAATGTCGGACACTTCGCCCCATTTCCACGTCGCCCCATGTCACTTCGCCCCTAACCACTTCGCCCCATCCCCACTTCGCCCCATCCCCACATCGCCCCATCCCCACTTCGCCCCATCCCCAATTTGCCCCATTCCCACTTCGCCCCATCCCCAATTCGCCCCATCCCCACTTCGCCCCAGCTGTTACATGTAAAAAAAAATAAAAAAAAAAAAACTCATCTATTTTATTGGCTTAAAAACAATTCCAACAGATTCACTAATTGCTAACCAACGGAAAGAATTAGCCCACCAAATGAACAATTCATAACCAACCTCTCAAGCTATCACTCTCCCCTACCGAGAAAAAAAGCTTGAAGTAAAAGATACAACTTTGTTCCCAACCCGGCTATACCAACCCGTCTCCCACTTATCTGAGAACGACAATACCTTTGACCCATGCTTTGACATTCTAATTTCACTCTTGGAGGAACCAATCTACATGGGGCGAAGTGGGGATGGGGCGAAGTGGGGATGGGGCGAAGTGGGGATGGGGCGAAGCGGGGATGGGGCGATGTGGGGAAGGGGCGAAGTGGGGATGGGGCGAAGTGGTTAGGGGCGAAGTGACATGGGGCGACGTGGAAATGGGGTGAAGCGTCCGACACCCGTTAATATAGTGCAAGGGCGGATCCAGGGGGGAGGGGGGAGGGGGGGGGGGCAAAGGGGGCCATGGCCCCTCCCCCCCAAAAAAACAAACCAATTTTTTGTTTTTGTGACATCGCAATAAAGGCAGGCAATGAGTAGGCCTACACCACCATCTTTTCCTCAAAAAAAATTGGTTAAAGTGGTCAGAAATTGCCTCAGATCTCACCACAGAGCATCTAGAATCCAAAAATTGTTCGGGGTCCTTAAGCGGGCTCCGAACCCCACGCCGTAATTTTTTGGACCCACTTTTTTGTGCCCCCCCACAAAAAAATTGTGTTCTGGATCCGCCCTTGCTATAGTGTGAATGATTTTAGGATTTTATTGGCGCTCCCCATTGAAAATATGGCATGAGCCCCCCCCCCCCCCCCCAACCACCTATTGATTTTCGGAGGTCTAAGTGTCTGGAAAAAATAACCAGTCAACATTTCAGCATGCCTCCCTGAAAAAAAATTCTGGATCCACCGTGCTAGCCCCCCCGAAATATTGGTTCTAGAACCGCGCCTGATAGATGGATGTACGAATACAGAATATTGAATATAATACGAAGTCAGAATCTGCCAGAGCAGGCCCACGGTTCAATAATGCGGACACATACATTCCTTCATTTATTTGCAAAAACATGTTGTGTTGTTAAGCAATACTACTCCGTTATTTCGCAATGCTTTTTCCTTATTTTTTTTTAATAATTAAAACCAGCACAATCAGGCTTCCACAAATCGTGGGGATAATCCCTAATTAAAGCTCAGGGGAATTACCTATAACTATATCGGCACTCTATCAGGCAACCCTCTAAATGCCCCCTCTGGATCGGTCTCTGCACTCAGTGCTGAAGTGACATGCAATTCCCATGAAACTCTTTTCAAGCTATAGCTTATCTGCATGGATTACCAAATTTAAGGAATTTGAATAAGAGTTTTACAACTGTTGTTCATCTTTTATTTCCGGCTTGATTTCTTGGTGAAAGCATCAGGGCTTTTATGCGAGAAGTGACAGTTGACACTGAGATAGAATGTATTTGTATTGACATATTTGTAACAAAATCGCTTCTAAAGTGAGAAGTTGGATGAGAGTTAGTGCCAGTCTGGTTCCCTGACCTCACCGTCGACGCCCAGACGTCTAAATTGTAGGTCAGGCAGCCTCCGCAGCTAAAAATAAACATGACGACATTGACGGCCCTGTTTCAAAGCTCGGCTTCGTTTCCGAATTCGCTTTATCACTTAAAGCTTTTAATCAGGAGGGGTTCCAATCAATTTTTTTAAACATACCTGCTTCATTATGTCATACAGTTTGATATTTCTGTAAAAAAAACATTGACGAAGGTTGACCCGCAATCTCAAAAGTTAGGGACCCAAATATCATCTTAGCAGGCGAAGCAAAAATGGAGACCACGCCGAGTTTTGGAAAATCCCGGCAACCGTCACCAGTTCAAATACGCAGCAAAGCTCGCCCCTCGTACGATCCTGGTGCATGCTTGATGCACAAAATCGTCATTGAATGTTAAATTTCTTTATGCAATTGATGAATATTAATTATCAACTTAGCTTTTATATTTTCAATTTGCAAGGTAGTTGAATAAAACCCAGAATTTTATACCCAGAAATAACCGGGCGCTATCTGAGATTTCGACGAAATACATTTGGCAAACTTCGGTCATTTTCGGAACAAGGAGGCATTCCACCCGTTTTATTCACGTGACTTTTTGTATTACAATGTATTACTAGCGGCTATCTGACCTAAGACGCATCAGAAATTGTCAGAATCTTTTGGTCTGGGAACCACACTGAGTTAGTGCCAGTTCTAGGATATAGGCATATTCCAAATAATTATTCCAGCAGTTTTTCCTTTAAATTACATTCATAGTTTTTCGTAATTTCGGTATTTAATAATATCACTAGATAAATAGCCATTCAATGCATTGCCGTATTGCATGTTGTATTACACAAAGCTACCGGTATGTTGGTATGCCAGAATTTGTTGACTAAGGCTCAAAGGTAAGTTAATTTGCATTGAATAGATGCCAAGGAATAACAAACACTTCAAATCGTGTCATTTGATAACAAAGTCACTCATTAACCTGTCAACCTACGTAGATTTTTGCGTTGTCATGGCAGACCAAATAAAACACTTCAGTACAGTGGACTTCGAACACTGGGAAAACCCAGATGTATTTGTGTAGGCCTATTGGCACAAAATTGTATGTATGTATCGATGCGCGATGTGAGAGGATTGAAATCGAACAGCCATTTTCTGTATTAATATATTCACAGATTTATTAGAAAACTATTGGTTATAAGCCTATTGGAAATGCATGTTTTCTTTCATTTGGTGCAAACTGCTGCATGTAACTTTCAAAGTTTGAGTTGACGCAATAAGGAGACTGGTCCGGAGTTTAATTTTTTTAAAATGTAGTTCCATCAAATGGTTATGACATTGGAGGGCGTCGTAGCAGCTGTAGTGCCTCGGTATAATAGTTATGCCTTGTCTCTGAATCAACCCTAACTTTACTGTAGGCCTGAGTTTGGCTACACTCATTTCTTTCTTTTGTTTTCAATTTCATAGATCATCCTAAACGGTGAGTTTACATATTAAGGGTTTTGGCGTTGTTTATTGTGTTTCCCGTACAATCTACGGTTGAATGTCTACCGTGAAAGCCTAGCATATTCCATATGACGTTACATAATATGGCTTGTAGGCCTACATACATGTATGCCCGTGTACCAGTATGTATTATGCCCAAACAATGTTGGGTTAGCCTACACGTGAACGCCAAAACGCTGTACCCGGCAACTGTCATTATGTGTATTTATCCTGAAATGGCCAGATCACAAATTAAAATAACATCAACAAATAAATCGTTAAATCTTTTTTCCCCTTTACTTCTCTTACGTTACAACTTATCAAGCCCGGATTATCCCGTAGGCAAAGTAGGCACTGTGCACAGGGCCTACGAAAAATTTGGTGGCCTACGAAAAATCAGGGGCCTATAGTTTTTGCCGCATGCAGTGTGCCATAAAACACATAAATAGGCCTACCCAGCAGAGACAAGTTTTTAAACAGTTTTAGGCTCTCTCTCTCTCTCAAAATTGTCGATTTCAACAACTGATACTGTACAGCATGCAGCATGTAGGCATACATGTACACGTATAAAATGTACGTGTAAAGTCTGTCGTTCTGAAGCACGGTGCCAACTGGCGTCGATCGGTGTGGGACGGGGAGACATGTCGTTTCCTCCCGCCCCAACTATTTTCGTCCCTAAAAAAAAAAATGTTACCTACATTTGATTCTATGGCTCAAAATATAGCTTATTCAATGACTTCAAACTCGAAAATGATGTTCAAATGATATTTTGCTTAAACAAAAACAATTGTTAAAGTGGTCACAATTGCCTCAGGTCGCACCACAGAGCGTTAAGAAGGCCAAATTGTTTCGGGGCCCTTAAAGCGGATCCCGCCCTACTACCCTACGAACCCCTACTTTTGAGAAGCGATTGACGTCCTTGGTGCCAACAGGCAAGGGCCTATACCAGTTTCGCCTGGCTTGATGTGTACAGTGCTTTGTACTTAAATAGCATCAACATGAATTTGGTGTCGGTGCTTAGGATGGAGCTGAGGGCCTACGGAACACTGGTGCATGCCTACAAAACAGTCCGGGCCTCACTTATTTTACGAACTTATTTGCCATTTTGAATCAGTTAAATACACTATATCAAGCGCTCTGGGACAACTTTACTAGGATTGTCTTGTCTTTTTTTTTCTCCAGTGGTCTTTAGTTTAATATGCATGTATTTAAAAATCCGTTACAAATATTCACAACTTAATCCACAAAAACAAAATGTGGTTTTCAACCATTGCTCACAGGACTTTCTTTTGTGACTGGGTGATCCAAAGTACCATGGATGCACAAATTGAAGCAGCTAGCCAACAAACTGATGTCCCTACCACGAGGCAACAGGAGGCTCATGTACACGCCCCCTCAGCTGCAACAGGTGAGTACAGTACATGTATCAAGAACATTGCTGAGAGCCTGGAGAAGAGGGACTGCTCCCCCTCCCACCCTACCCCTTATCCAAAAAATGTTTGGTGATTGGGTGACCCGCATCACCCTTTATAGTTTGTTTGTGCAAATTGATATTTGTTCATATACTATAATTATCCACGAGTTTTCTTCTACTTAATGATACACGGCATGAATGTCAAACTTGGAACAAACATCAGCCCTGATCCCGAGAACTGCGACGCCATGATGACGTCATGATGACAACAGCGAGGATCAAAGTAGATGCGATTTTAGTTCCAAAATCTATTATCACTCTTCTCTCATTATTTGAACAAAAATAATAATCATGCTAACATCTGATTTACCATGCATACACTTGTAAACATTTTTTTGTTTGGTTACGTGAAGTCACTTGACATTTACGTCCGGGTTTCCGGAAGGTTAGAGTTAGGTCAATCTCACAAAAGAAGCGCTAATAACAAAGAGGGATTGTTTTTCCCAAACGGCTCAAGAAATGACGATGAAATCTTGTACAAATCTTGTGCGAGGAGTTGGCATTATTTTCGATTACGTCATGATTGAAACATGCATCATATTTCCATGGGTGTCTCCAGGGTTTTTTCTAGAGGGGGGCAAAACATATTTTTCCCAAAAAATTCTTGTATTTCTGAACAAATTCTCGATTTCTCAGTTTTAGACGGGGGCAGGGACATTTTGCCCCCCCCCCCCCCCCCCACTCATTAAATTTAAACCACTGTGACTTCGCGCCACTTTTTCTTATCTTTTTTTCTCTTTTTTTCTGTCTTTTTAATTTTTTTTTATTTGCTTTTCCAGGGGGAGGCACTTAAGCCATCTGTCAAAACATCAATCTGCAATTTTATCTCTTGCGCCAGAGGCTCTTGGTATGAGGAGCCATCCCATTTAAATCCTCCACTACCTAACTTATTTGATTGGTTATTTTGGGTTTTGTCTTGATACTTATTTCTTTCTGTTATAACTTCTAACAATTTGTTTTAAATTAAATTGTTTTACGGGCTTAAGTAAATTTGTTCTCCATTGCATGGTTTATTATTTACACATTTTTTGCCTTACATTTGATATAGTTGCCATGGGCGTCGCCAGGATTAGAGGGGGGCAAAGCACATTTCCCCCCAAATCCCTATGTTTTCCTGCATTTTCCCGATTGATCATTTTTTCGAGGGTGGGCAGGGTATTTTCCCCGGCGCGCCCCCAACCCTTTAAATAAACAACAATATGATTTCGCCCCTCCCTTTTTCTCCTTTTTTGGGGGGTTTGCCCCCACCCCCCCCCCCCCACCCCCCACCCTCGCGACGCCCATGATAGTTGTCATTTGATTATTTTGATTATTCATTTCGTGTGCTATTGTAATGTATCTGTTGCTTATCATTCATCTGGTTAAAAATTCCTAAATGTTCACTTCCTTGTGTTGGAATGTTTTTATTTAATCAGCTGATTCATCTGTTTATATATATTTTTGTTTCGATATCGTTTTAACTTCAATATCACGAACGGTTTAGGAGAAAACCCGCGGAGAATTATTGTCCGGAAAAAAAGAGAGATTTACCAGAACAATAACAGAAAGTGGTCGGGTTGTGCCCGACCACTCAACAAGATCAAACATGTATACAGCTATGTAGGCAATTATACAGGTATCCTTCGAAGCCGGGGGCTTATATGAAGATGCCTTGACAAAACAAAACCGAAATGTCAACTCAACAGTTACAGAAACAGACTAACAATTGGACAAACACAAACGGAGAACATGGTATAAAATGTAGATGTGAGGGTTAGAGGAAATAGAAAATGCCATAAATGAATAATCGTGCAACTAGTCATAAATCAAAGCTAAGCATCAATATTGAAGTAAAAACGTAATCGAAACAAAAATATAAACTAGAAATGTGTTTGTGGACAAACACAAGCTGTTTCGGATATTTGAAATACTCTGAGCACGGGATGAACAATCAGTGACGTCACTATAAATGTCATCTATAACAGCACATTATGATATGTACATGTCAAGTTACAACCAAATCGAACATTTTAGTTCTGTAGATATATAGACCTATAAAAGAATAAAATGACCCTTTAAGGGACTTCACATGATATTTGATGATGATGCCACTTCAATTTCCATCTATAACACATCCATGTGAATATGCATACCAAGTTTTAACCCAATCAGACTTGTACTTCAGAAGTTCAGTTTGCTGGTTTGAAGAAAAACGTGTACAAAACCAATAGGGAAACAATGCATCTTTAATGTGATGTAACCTGACACCTCATGACGCCACGATGACGAATTTCTTCTAGGACCATCTGTGGGTAGTGGTCTAAGTGTGTACCAAGTATAAAGTCGATCAAGTTTACGAAAGTGCCAAAGTGTATGGTTTGAAGAAAAACGTGTACAAAACCTATGGGGAAAATGTGCATCTTTAATGTGAAGTAACGTGACACCTGATGACGTCACGATCACGAATTTCTTCAAGGACCATCTTTGGGTGGTAGTCTAAGGGTGTACCAAGTGTAACGTCGATCGGATTTACGAAAGTGCCGAAATGGAGCGTTTTAATACATGTACAAACCCTATGGGGAAAAATGCATCTTTAATGTGACGTAACCTGACTCTTGATGACGTCACGATCACGAATTTCGTCTAGGACCATCTGTGGGTGGTGGTCTAAGTATGAATTAAGTTTAAAGTCGATCGGATTGACGAAGATGGAAATATTCTTATTTCTTAGCACAGCGATGGACGTTAGGGAGTAACACAGTGTAGTAATATAACTAAATCAAATAATTATTATTATTATTGCCCTACTGAAATTGATATAGCTCTATGGTATGAACATATTGTCAAATTAGTTCAACAGTAATTTTGTTGGATAATCATAAATTGGGTGCTTTTTAGGATATGGTGGCTTTCAAGATGAACAGTAAAATGTATCGTAAGCTCAATAAGTGGCCTCCTGAAAGAGCGCATCCTTAAATTCTCTCCGTTGTCTTGTTTGTTTCCTATTGGGACATGCTAAGGCCTTGCAAGGATTAAAAAAAAATACCGGTGGCTGTGGGTGGGGGGGGGGGGGGTTGCCCTGGAACCCCCGCCGTGGCCCGTATAATACCTATAATCACAAAAAATTGCATGATGTCGTTATCACTTGAAAGGGCTCCCTCTAGCAGCACATCAAATCAAAATGAGCTTTTTTAATTGATTGAAAACCGTCAAAATTTTGCCAATTGCCTTTAACATTCTTTTGACGATGGCAAATGGCTTTGCGATGTTTCAAGATCCTGACGTCATCAAACTAGATGTTACTTTAATGAGGATCTAAAAATTATCGTTTTTTTTAATGATTTCAAAATCTTCATTTATCTATATGCAGTGGTGATGGCGGTCGTGGCAGGAATAGCTATAGGCCTACTGTTGGACTTCATGAAGATGCAACTTCGTCAAACTGGAAGTAAGGAAAAAAATTGAATTCTAGATGTTCTGTGGTGTGATCTGAAGCAATTTCTTACCACTTTCCTCCATGATTTAACTAATATTTTCTTAGCAAAAGATAATTATTTGAACATTGTTTTCGAGGTTGGAGTCATTGAATCAGCTATCGGTATTCTGAGCTATAGGTGTGGGGTTCGGGGCCTGCTTAAGGGCCCCGAAAAATTTGGATTCTAAATGCTCTTTGGTGCTATCTGCGGTAATTTCTGACCACTTTAACCAATATTTTCTAAGCAAAAGATACATTGTAGTACATAATAGGGCCCTGTAAATGAGACACAAGTTCAAAAATCTGGTTGGGGGGGGACATCTGATATTGTGTCCCCCACCCTTCAAAAAGTAGGGGGACCTGTCCCCCTGTCCCCCCAGGATTGACGCCCATGGCGTCATGTAGATCAATGACAATTTTTTTAGAAACTCAAAATCTCAGTGGGTGGCGACTGGGGGGGGGGGCCCGACAAGGTTTCATGGGGGGGGGTGCCCCCCCCCCCCCCCCTTTGCCAAGCCACTGATTTCAAGGAATTTTAATTGGTCTATTATTATTATTTAGCTTATATGAATGGAGGAAAAAGTTTGTTGGGGGCTGATTCGCGTGATATCGCTGACTGAAACTGTGTGACCCACAGACCACCTGTCTATAATACGTGTTCCGTGGTGTGAGCGAGCAGTGCAGTGGGTGTTAATACCAGGCATGCAACTTTTCCTCGGATCAGCTGATTTCCTCTTTTTTTACTTCCCATGTGTGCCATTGAAAATAGAAAAACACTGTACAAAGTCTGGGAAAAATTTGAATTTCCTCTTTTTTTGTGATTTCCCAGTTGCATGCCTGTAATACGCATTTTAGATTATCATTATGCGCTATGTCACGCCGGTTGTCACTTCTGGTCCGCGGTCGCCGGTCGAATGGTCATTTCTCAGTGGTCATCATGATTGTAGATTTTGGGGGTGAAATCTTAATATTTTCAATGGGGGGGGGGCGGGGATGAGTGCAACTGATTAATGGTACACGCGATACAGATATGATCTAGGACCCTACTATCGTACTACCATGTCCAAATGTTAAAAAAGGTGATTCGTAGAGTCCTATTACTCGGAGTAGGTGTTATCAATGCATGCATTCATACATTATTTTGTGTGTAAATGTATTTACATTTTTAGAAGTGGCTTTTCAATTTATGTTGCGTTATTTTGCATACATAAAAATGTATCCTGTGTAAACTAAATCAAATTTCATTTTGCACATTTTAACTGATTAAGTCATAAAACCGGACACATATTCAAATTAAAACAAATTACTTCACTGGAAAAGGCCGATTTGATTTTGATGCCCCGACGGCTAGCGGCCGAAGGGGCATGTACTGTTTCTGCCTTGTCCGTCCGTGTGTGTTTGCGCATGTTTACGCTGTAAATCGAGGACACACATTATGAAGCATCATCGAGTTAATTGAGGACAGGAGTCAAATCGAGGACGACCTCGATTACAAAACGTCTACAACACCAATGAGAGCTGTTGCAAAAAAGTATAAACAAAAGATCGATGTTGAGGAACAATAGAAAGTCCTCGATTTACACCATAAACAAAGCATTGCTCTAACCTTGCATACTCTAACTTTGTGAACAAGGGCGGATCCAGGGTGCCAACGGGGGCCACCCCCCAAAAAAAATTTCAATTGTTTTTTTGTTTTTTTTGTTGCGTATACACCACCATCTTTTCCTCAAGAGCATCTAGAATCCCCCCAAAAATCGGGGCCCTTACGCGGGCCCCGGTTCCCACACCGTAATTTTTGGGACCCGCTTTTTGGGGGACCAAAATTTGTGGACCTGTGAACAAAAGAGGTTCACAGGATGCAGGACGCGTGAACGCTTTGTGGACTTGCACACGGCCACACTAGGTTTCCCCCTCTCTGGAAAACATAACAGGGTGCATGAGGGTTATCTGATGTCGCAAAATGAAGAGGAACGCTGAAGGAAATCATGATAATCAGAGACGGAAATATTCTTATTTCTTAGCACAGCGATGGACGTTCGGGAGTAACACAGTATAGTAATATAACTAGATCAAATAATAATTATTATTATTGCCCTACTGAAGTTGATATAGCTCTATGGTATGAACATATTGTCAAATTAGTTCAACAGTAATTTTGTTGGATAATCATAAATTGGGTGCTTTTTAGGATATGGTGGCTTTCAAGATGAACAGTAAAATGTATCGTAAGCTCAATAAGTGGCCTCCTGAAAGAGCGCATCCTTAAATTCTCTCCGTTGTCTTGTTTGTTTCCTATTGGGACATGCTAAGGCCTTGCAAGGATTAAATAAAAAATACCG